AGTAGTAGTAGTAGTAGTAGTAGTAGTAGTAGTAGTAGTGGTAGTGGTAGTGGTAGTGGTAGTAGTAGTAGTAGTAGTAGTAGTAGTAGTAGTAGTGGTAGTACTGATAGTAGTATTAGTAGCAATAGTAGTATTAGTAGCAGTTGTAGTAGTATTTAGACAGTAGCATTAGCAGAGGAAACTGTGCTGCTTTCTCCTTTGTCCTCCAAGTGGCCATCAAGAAGTGTTGCAAGTGTGATAGAGCATCCATCCTCACTCCCTTCCGAAGTGTGGTATGATTCTGTACCACTGGACTGAAGACCTCAGGAACCATTGCGGCATATGCATGTGGAAAGCTGGCAAGGAAATCTCGTAAAGGATACTAAGGAGCCAGGGTGTGCAAGGCTTCAGTAGCACGTTTTGCTACATCTGATATTTTGACACGAATCCGGACATCCTTTGCTTTGAGAACCATGCAAGCATACCCCAATCTTCCCCTGCTATTACTTGCAACTGCTGCTCCACCAGCAACAGTAACAGCACCTGCAACTACAACTGCTCACCACCACCGCTACCAGCGCCACCACGACCAAGACCAAAACCCCTACCACCACTACTACTACTACTACTACTACGACTAGTACTACTAGTACTGATACTAATACCAGTACTACAACTAGTAGTAGTACTGCGACGACGACTACTACTACTAGTACTACTGCTACTACTGCCACTATCGCTACCGCTACCGCTACCGCTACCACTACCACTACCACTACTACTACTACTACTACCACCACTACTACTCTAGCCCCCCCCCCTTACCAACCACCTGGCGCCTTGACCCATCATCATCGTCAGCATCATCAGTTACAGAAGATGCAAGGGCCCAGGCGACAGCCGCAGAAGTTGCCGAGGCTCACTTGCGTTAACTGTCACAGATGCAGGGGCTCAGGCTCCCTGTCTGTGACGCCTGCAGAAACTGCCGAGGCTCACGTGATTTAACTGTCACAGCCGGTGAAGTTGCAGAGGCTCAGGCCCCAAAATTGCGACAGCAACTGGAGTTGCACACTCGGCGGGGAAGAAACTGCCAAACCACAGGTCGTCGGATAGTACGAAAAAGCTGTAAGCTCCGTGCAAAACGCAGGTGCTGCCAAGAAGTTTTAAACACTCCTAAAACCTGAAGCGCAACATCTTCTAAACATGAAAAAACAAGAATGCCAGCTCTGCGTGCGACGGGCTCGCCAACACCCTTAAAGCCGAGACCTCGGCATAAGAGGGTTTGCTTTTGAAATGGTGTGTGGTGTTCGAGGCTGCCTCTACGTCATCCAGCCGCATCAAGCCCCCATCCACCCCCCCCGGAAGCAACAACAGTGCGAAAGAACGGTGTTTAGCAATGGACTACGACATGACCAAGGTACTTTAAATACGGAGGAAAAAAATTCCCCCAAACCAATTTCGAGTTTTCGCCGAAAGCCCTCGCAAAGCCCAATGTCGACGTCGCAAAGTCCAGAGGTACGTTTGGTGACTA